ATCGAAATTTTGCTATAGAAATAATAGTTAGGACCAGAAGATTTTCTTCAAGGACCACTAGAGAAAAATGATTTTGAGAACTTTCCGATATCTTTGCTTTATACAAAAATAATCCAGTTTGGTTACTTTTAAAATAAAATGCTTCGCTGGGCGCAGCTTGATACGACCGCAGAGGTCGAACCCTGAACAGTTGGGGCAAGTATGGACACAACATTCAAGCTTGATACAGCTCTGAATTTGGATTGTGATTAAATATTTGACACAGCATAGGTTCTGACACAGAAAGAATGTGGTCTAAGAACTTCAATTTTTTTAATTTACCTATTATGGTCCAATGTCCAAAATCAAAATACATGGTTAGATTCAGAATATCAAAGAACCCCATATATTCAATTTTTGTTGAAATCAAACAAAGTTTAATTTTGGACCCCAACTTGAACAAACTTGAAAACTGGTCCCATAATCAAAAATCTAAACACATGTTTAGATTCAGCATATCAAAGTACCCCAAGAATTCAATTTTTGTTAAAATCAAACTAAGTTTAATTTTGGACCCTTTGGACCTTAATGTAGACCAATTTAAAAAACGGGACCCAAAATTAAAAATCTAAAAACACGGTTAGATTTGGCATATCAAAGAACCCCAATAATTCAATTTTTGATGAAATCAAACAAAGTTTAATTTTGGTCCCTTTTGACCTCAATATGAACCAATTTGATAGCGGGCCCACAAAATAAAAAATCTAAATACATGGTAAGATTCAGCATATCAAAGAACCCCATATATTCAATTTTTATTGAAATCAAACAAAGTTTAATTTTGGACCCCAATTTGGACCAACTTGAAAACTGGGCCAAAAATCTAAAATCTAAATACATGTTTAGATTCAGCATATCAAAGAACCCCATATATTCAATTTTTGTTGAAATCAAACAAAGTTTAATTTTGGACCCCGACTTGGACCAACTTGAAAACTGGTCCCATAATAAAAAATCTAAACACATGTTTAGATTCAGCATATCAAAGAACCCCAAAAATTCAATTTTTGTTAAAATCAAACTAAGTTTAATTTTGGACCCTTTGGACCTTAATGTAGACCAATTTAAAAAAACGGGACCCAAAATTAAAAATCTAAATACACGGTTAGATTTGGCATATCAAAGAACCCCAATAATTAAATTTTTGATGAAATCAAACAAAGTTTAATTTTGGACCCTTTTGACCTCAATATGAACCAATTTGATAGCGGGCCCACAAATAAAAAATCTAAATACATGGTAAGATTCAGCATATCAAAGAACTCCATATATTCAATTTTTGTTGAAATCAAACAAAGTTTAATTTTGGACCCCAATTTGGACCAACTTGAAAACTGGGCCAAAAATCTAAAATCTAAATACATGTTTAGATTCAGCATATCAAAGAACCCCATATATTCAATTTTTGTTGAAATCAAACAAAGTTTAATTTTGGACCCCAACTTGGACCAACTTGAAAACTGGGCCCATAATCAAAAATCTAAACACATGTTTAGATTCAGCATATCAAAGAACCCCAAGAATTCAATTTTTGTTAAAATCAAACTAAGTTTAATTTTGGACCCTTTGGACCTTAATGTAGACCAATTTAAAAACGGGACCCAAAATTAAAAATCTAAATACACGGTTAGATTTGGCATATCAAAGAACCCCAATAATTAAATTTTTGATGAAATCAAACAAAGTTTAATTTTGGACCCTTTTGACCTCAATATGAACCAATTTGATAGCGGGTCCACAAATAAAAAATCTAAATACATGGTTAGATTCAGCATATCAAAGAACCCCAAGAATTCAATTTTTGATGAAATCAAACAAAGTTTAATTTTGGACCCTTTTGACCTCAATGTGGACAAAGTTGATAACGGGGCCCAAAAATCAAAAATCTAAATACATGGTTAGATTCAGCATATCAAAGAACCCCATATATTCAATTTTTGTTGAAATCAAACAAAGTTTAATTTTGGACCCCGATTTGGACCAACTTGAAAACTGGGCCCATAATCAAAAATCTAAATACATGTTTAGATTCAGCATATCAAAGTACCCTAAAAATTTAACTTTTGAAAACGGGGCCCAAAATCCAAAAACTTAATACACGGTTAGATTCAGCATATTAAAGAACCCAAAGAATTCAAGAATAAAACCCCATTGAAATTGATCAAGAAATAAGCAATTTATACGAAGTATCTTCTTTTGCACAATACTGTGCAATTGAATATTTCTTGCTATTGTGCAATACTGTACAATTGACAATTTCTTGCTATTGCGCAATATTGTGCTATTGGATATTTCTTGCTATTGCGCAATACTGTGCAATTGAAGATTTCTTGCTATTGCGCAATACTGTGCAATTGAAGATTTCTTGCAATTGTGCAATACTGTGCAATTGAAAATTTCTTGCTATTGCACAATATATATACTTATTATATAATAATTTACACATCCTGTTTGGTGTGTATCTCCTACCATATCATTATTATTTGCTTTTAAATATTAATCAGAAATAACCAACTTAAAATGGAAAATTTTAAAAGAAAAAAAAAAGGAAAAAAAGAAAAAAAAAGAAAAAAAAAAATTCCCCCCCCAAATTTTTTGAACCCCCTTATGATTCATCACCCCCAAACTCAATCCCAGCCTTCCCTTTGTGGTATGGTACCTTGCAGTACAATTTCAGAGAGATCCATACACTTGAACACAAGTTATTGTCTGGAAACTAGAAAAATGCTTATTTTTGGCCCCTTTTTGGCCCCCAATTCCTAAACGTTTCGGGCAATTACCCCCAAACTCAATTCCAGCTTTCCCTTTGTGATATGGAACCTTGTAGTACAATTTCAGAAATATCCAAACACTTACACACAAGTTATTGTCATGAAACTAGAAAAATGCTTGTTTTTTGCCCCTTTTTTGGCCCCTAATTCCTAAAATTTTGAGGCAATTACCCCCAAAATCAATTACAGCCTTCCCTTTGTGATATGGAACCTTGTGGTACAATGTCAGAGAGATCCATACACTTACACACAAGTTATTGTCTGGAAGTTACAAAAATGCTTATTTTTGGCCCCTTTTTGGCCCCTAATTCCTTAACTGTTGGTACCATAACCCCCAAAAACAATCCCCACCTTCCTTTCGTGGTATTGAACCTTATGGTAAAATTTCATGGAGATCCATTCACTTAAACTAAAGTTAGAGTGCGAAAACCAATGTGTCTTCGGACGACGCCGGACGACGCCAGACGACGACGACGACGACGACGACGACGACGACGACGACGACGACGACGCCAACGTCATACCAATATACGACCAAAAAATTTTCAATTTTTGCGGTCGTATAAAAATTGGTTAGACAAGATGTCCTTTTTGATTATATTCGAGACAAACATTGACGAATGTTTGTGCAGTTTAAGATTATTCTTAAAATTCAAATAGTGGGGGTTTAAGCCTGATTTGTCTAGCAAAATTGAGTTAGAGGAAAGAACAAAGAAAAATGTCACGAACAGAGCATGTAAAGCAAAATTCTATCCGGATGAAATATCATCTGGGGAAAAAATGTTACAGAAGTTGTTCAGTGTTATTTTTTTACAGTCATGTCTACCGGACGTATCTTAATTTGCTATAAAATCAGCGTAAACTTCATTTATGTCATCCAACATAACAAAAATCTGCTATATTCGACGGTAAATTGAATTTTTGTTTTATTGGTCTTCCGTAGAATATCTCCAGAAGAGGTCCAGATTCATTTTTTTGGACTCTTCACCAGAAGACATTCTGGAGATGTGCAGAAGAGACCAATAAAACACGCCCCATTACTTTATACATAATTTAAAAGCAGTGTAAGGGAGATAATTTCAATGATGTATTTGATTTATCTCCCTTACACTGCTTTAAATTATGTTTTGTACTAAAGTATTTGTCCATTAACCAGGACAACCTTGTTTTTCCCCCTTTTTTGCCCCTAATTCCTAAACGGTTTGAGCCATAACCCCCCAAAGCAAATCCTAACCATCCCTTTGTGGTATGGAAACTTGTAGTATAATTTCAGAGAGATCCATACACCGTTGCACAGTTATTGTCTGGAAACTAGAAAATGCTTATTTTTGGCCCCTTTTTCCTTAACTGTTGGTACCATAACCCCCAAAATCAATCCCAACCTTCCTTTTGTGGTATTTAACCTTATGGTCAAATTTCAAAAAGATCCATTCACTTAAACTAAAGTTAGAGTGCGAAAACCAATGTGTCTTTGGACGACGACGCTGGACGACGACGCCAACGTCATACCAATATACGACCACAAAATGTTTTTGCGGTCGTATAAAAACTGCATTTTACCCCTATGTTCTATTTTTAACTAAGTTGGCCATGATGGTTGGAAGGCGGGGTCATCGGACAAAAACTAGATACCCTAATAATGATTATGGCCAAGTATGGTTAAATTTGTATCAGTAGTTTCAGAGAAGAAGATTTTTGTAAAAGATTACAAAAATTTACGAAAATTGTTAAAAATTGACTATTAAGGGCAATAACTCCTAAAGGGGTCGACTGACAATTTTGGTCATATCAACTTATTTGTAGATCTTACTTTGCTGAACATTATTGCTGTTTACAGTTTATCTCTATCTATAATAATATTCAAGATAATAACCAAAAACTGCAAAATTTCCTTAAAATTACCAATTCAGGGGCAGCAACCCAACAACAGGTTGTCAGATTTGTCTGAAAATTTCAGGGCAGATAGATCTTGACCTGATAATCAGTTTTACCTTATGTCAGATTTACTCTAAATGCTTTGGTTTCAGAGATATAAGCCAAAATCTACATTTTACCCCTATGTTCTATTTTTAGCCATGGTGGCCATCTTGGTTGGTTGGCGGGGTCATCGGACACATTTGGGACAGGTGAGCTAAAAAATCAAAATGATTATGGCCATGACTTAACATCATACCAAAAATTCAAATCAAATAAATTAGAAACTTTTAATTTTCAGTAATATTTGTGAGAGAAAAATACAAATAACACTGTAAATTTAATAACAGCATCAACTTGGAAATTTACAATATCAATATCTGACTGCTGTATATAAATATTGCTTTAAATATAAGTTATAATTAGACACAACATAAATACAACATTTACTTCTAGACAATCTCAAAACCATGCATTTTATGTTTGTGTATCAATGTTTTCTGATATTGAAAAGAACATGTCCACCAAATAATTTTGAAAATTTGTTCATATTCTGAGGAATAAGAAAATAAATTTCCCAAAAGAGGGTAAAGTCAAGTCATTTATTTGTAATACATAAAGTTCAATGTTAAACATATTTTTTTATAAACTATCTAATATCAATTATTTGTGTTGAGCTAACATTTGTTCATAGGTGTAGAATGAGCTCTACTTCAAAGGAAAAGGTTTACTTTTGGCAAAATATGGTCTTGAATTTCAAATTTTTAAAAGTTTAGCCCTTTGTAAAACTTCTCCTTTTACATAGACACTGCATTGTATGAAGGAGGAAGATTTACACCTACGTTTCAGAGGTGAAAAAATCCATCTCCCTTAATTTCTGAACTTTGTTATATTATATGCCCTGATTTGAGTATTTTATGAATTATTTTACCCAATGATAATTTAATTCCGAGCCTTTTCTAGTAAATGACATGACCAAAGCAAAGGTCATTTAAACTTTTAAACTTTGAAGGACTAAAACAATATGCCTTCCCATCAATCCAGTTAAATTTTTTTATTACAAACATTTTGGTGAACTTTTATCATTCAATGCTTTCCTTAAATCCAAAAATACTGCCCTAAACATATCTAACAGAATCTGATGTCTATGGCATCTGTGCATTATAATCGAAAAACATGATTTCAGTTATACATTTTAAGATTCAACAACCTGATTTTGCTTTAACACTTTCTAATTTTGTCAAACTGAAAACTTTTAAATATTTTTTTATAAGAATGAATTTGGTTGGTTGAACGACTGAAGAAAAATGAAATGCCTAACCAATGTTGATAGAACCCAAATCTAAATACAGGTTAAAAAAAAATTGAACTGAGCGAAAATATTGTAATACATCAAAACTGGGGTAAATCGTTTCTCCTACTGGTTAAGCATGTTTCAATAAGACATTTTAATTTCAAATATATAAACTGACTTAGTTACCTAGATAAATAGATGCAACCTTATTAGTTACAAGAAAATGATTTTCAGGAACAGACATAAAACTGAAACATACCAAAATGAACAGAAAATCAATAGTGTTTTAGACATTTAGAGGTGACAGAGTATAAGCTTAGTTGTGTACTGACCTCATTTATTTTTGGTACTCTATTTAAACATATTTCTATTCCTTATAATTATATATTTCATCATACAATATCTATATCTTCAATATTTTTTATAGTATTTCTAACATAAAGCTTGTTGAAAGCAATAATGAAGTAAAATATTTTTAAAAAATGGGAAAAAAACTCATTATTTGTATACAAATACATCACAATATCCAAAAAGACAACATATTGACAAAGCATTCAAAATTAATAAAATAAAATTTTACTATATCAATTAAGAGAAATTGTTTTTTGGAAAATATATTCCTATCTTTTTTCTTTATTACAATTTTTATTCTTTGTTACTTTCTTATATTTTTAATTTTTATTCATGATTTTTTGTGCAACATTTTCAAAGTCCATTCATACTAAAATGGTTAAGGAAGAAACTGAAGCATATTTATTCTATGTGAATTTCTGTTAAACATATGCTGGAAGACCAAATTTATATTTTTTGTGTTAAGGTACTTTTAATAAAAAGATATGCTAAAAGGCACATTCACCAAAAAAACATATGAGTATAAATTAACATGTAATTGACCTTAATTCCAAATTTTAATCCCTTGAAAATTTAATGCTTTTATCATTATGACTTAGACTGCTTTAAGATTAAAAAGACCTTACAAAAAAAACCTTGTAAAAAAAAGCATTCAAAAATTTCAAAATACTTCAGAAAACTTTGATACAAACAATATAAAGGAAACTCACACAAAAAAGCAAGCACTACAAATAACATTCAAATAAATTTTAGTATAAAAATTCTTATCAGAGATACTCAAATATAATTAGGCAACAGCTCAATGTGAAGGATGGCAGAAGTGTTTGGGAATATGGGAGTAACTGTTTTAATATATCTTTTTTGTGGTAAGATTTTGAAAATTAAAAATTGAAACCGAGGATCCAAGTTTTTTCAAGAATGATTTTTTTCAACTTAACTTTTGCTGCATGCAATTAAATTATTAACCGACTAAAAACCCATAACCACCACCTGAGATCGCAAATTTGTTGTTTTAACAACTAATGGAACCAGTTCCAAAACTAACTACATCATGACCAAAAAGAAGTCTGAAAGGACCAAACTCATAATTCAAAATATGTCCTCAAACCAAACTTTGTTATGTTCTTTATTACTCATCACTTTTCATATACCGAATTCAGGCTTGTATAGTCTGCAGTTTTATTCTTCAAAATTTAACCTGCCAGACAGGGGTGCGGACTATAGAGTACAAAAAGCAAGAAATAAGAGGAAAAATTACTTTGCAAGGTTTGTTTACGTTCAGCCATGTTTGTTATTGAAATTGTACAGGGTGCTCTTATCATTTTCAAAACTAATAATTTTACCTAATCCATATTAAAATGTAATTTTTATTCAATATCAAATATAAACTGTTAAATTTCAAAATTAAATGCTTCAATACAAATTTCCCTTTTTTTTTTTCACTGCATTGCTCAAAATAACCTGGAATCTGCTTGAATTTAACGGAACGAAAAAAGTTGAAGTCAACCAGGAACCAGCTTACCCATAACAAAGTAATAAACTAAAAAACGTAATTGGTTATTCATTCCATTTTGGTGTTTCATACTGATGCATGTGTTTTGTTTTAGCCTAAGATCCTTCAAACATTAATGTGATAGATATGTTAAACATTATTTACTCAAGGATGGAACTGTTTTACTTTCAAAGTTGTATTCTAGTGATATCTATTGAGTACAGATTTTCCGTACACTCACCATATTTATTTTTCATTTACATGTGCTATTTGAACATGCACAAGTTTCTAAATTGTTTTTTATGTGATTTTGACTTATTTTAAGACTTGAGAAGTGTTCTAGAATCATCTATAAGCATTTTCAACTTCTATTTGATGATGAAAATACCGCAAACGATCACACATAATTTGAAATTACTGGAGTTTCATTAGACGTTTTCTAACTTCAGTGGCGCAAAGGGGGTTGCGGACAATGTACCAATGCGAACTATACAAGGACGATTACGGTAGTAGTATTTTTCTCAATCTCAAACTACATTTTTAAATGGTTTTGTTGTTTGAGAAAGAAAATAATGACCAACAAAATACACTACAATCGTTGCCAAATAAATTAACGAATGAGCATGAACAATTACTCCCATACGCAGATATAATGATTATAGGTGTAAGGTGTCATTTCTTATATAAAGCAGATATACATTCTTGTATGTTCTAAGATCTGTGTTTGATTTAATTCTGAGGTATATCATTTCCATTCAGTTAAATATACAAGAGAGGTAGAAAGCAAAAAAAAAAATATAGTTACTACATTTCTGTATATACAGCAGAGACAGCTATTATAAGAAAAATCTGGACCTTAGGAAATGGAAATAAATTTACTAGTTACATTTAGTATCTACAATATAAAGTGCAGCAAAAAGTAGGAACTCATAAAGAGCTCAGAGAAAGAGCTATATCTGTTGCATTATAAACAAAAAAATACTTTTTAAAAAAAGTTTTAGTGTTCAAAATTCTTACAGTAACTTTACTAATAAAGTACAGTATCTGCTATTTGGTGACTTTAAATTTCCTAAGCAGCATTAAGTCTAATCCCTGATTTTCATTTACAGATTTATATCTATGCATAATTAATAGTTCTTTTCAAATTAAAAGTTTTTCACAATCTTGCAGAATAAAATTACTAGAATTTTTAGAATAAGCAACATACACAAAAATATGCAACTGTCATTCAAATACATATGAAATGAGCAAAAAAAAAATACAATATTTGTTGATACTATTTAGTATAAATATTTGCTATACAATAGCTAAGTAAACTTCAGATACAAACTTGAAAGACAAAATCATTTCAGAATTCCTGGAATGCATATAAATCAAATCTTTAAATCAAATTGTTCAGCTTTTTTTTGTTCTTAACTGGCTAGAAGAAATGACTATCAAACTGTCATCAGTACATACCATAAACAAATTAACAGTTAATATACTGAATTGCTCTCATTGGCAATTCAATCATAAAAAATAAAGGAAAATATAAATCTCTTTTATGTCTTGTGCATGCATTTTTTCCTCATAGCATGTTTTATATTTTCATTTTACATTAAACTGAAGTCATTACCAATGTAATGAAAACTACAAATCATTATTTTATTATAACATCATGAGTAAATTTATCTTCTTTTTTTATTTGAATGGTCATTCATATAAAAAAAAATATTTGTGTTACAATACTTTTTTTTTCCTGTAAATCATCATTCCACTATACACATGTAAATCAATATTTAAATTCTCATCCATGTGATCAACTTCCTAAAATATGAAACTTTTCTGTGAAGAAATAATGACAGTGTGAATTAATGTGAACTTTCAGAGGGACTCATTATATTGTATAACTAGTATGTTCAAAGCAATCTGTACAGCAAGGAATAGAGCAAAATATAATGTATAAAGCAATCTTTGTCTCAAAATAATAACAAAAACAAAAACAAAATATGTAACAATCCATTTGTTCAAACATTAAAACATTTAATAATCACAATAAAATATGCCCAGTATACAAACTGATGATTATAGCAAAAACAAACAGAATTCAACAATTATAAAATACAATATAACACTCACAGATAGAATTTTGTATTTATCAATTTAACAACAGTTTAGGCACATATAACACAATGTTAGTACTGGTAAGGATACAATGTTACAATAGTTGCACAAGTTTTCAAAGTATTAAAGGTTCCAGAAGTCTAGCTTCGTGGAATATATTTCCAATACATTTATAATTCATGAAATATCCAAAGATTCTGCCGTATATTTGTGTGTGTTGTCTTACTATCATAACTGCTTTTGTTTCTACTTAAACCTGGTCTTTAAAGAAGTCATATAACAACATTATCACACATTTCACAGAAAATATTTTGCCCAAATTTACTATTGACATAAAACAAATACCTGAAACAGACAAAATATGGCTTCTTTTGTTCTTAACACTTATGTATTAAATACTAATAAATAGCATCATAGTGTTATAAATTTCAAATCTTAAAAAGTTTCAAAATGAACCATCAAAGAAAAATAAATGGTTGTTTTCTGTGTAGAAATAAGAAAGGGTAAGAACAGGCTTTGTATAACTTAGTGATCGATCTGCATAATTGCAAGCCTTCCAAGAATTTTTATTTCACCTGACATAGTTTGTGGAATATAAGCAATTGTCCTTACCAATTTTGCTAACATTGATATGTCTGTAACTGTCTGTACATTATTACCCCCCTAAATAAGAAACTTTATTCAACCTAAACCATATTCACTTTTTAAGGTGAATTACTTTTGCTGCACCTGTCAGCTTGCTTAAATAAGAAAATGGAACCAATAAGTGTCTTTCAGGGTGTAAAAAATGTCAAACTAATTTTGGAGAGATATACGGCTAAGGCAATCTATGCCTTTGAGTATAAAAAATCCTTCCAACAAGTATAAAAGACTGTTCCAAATTTTATGGATTGGGTTGTAAAGAAGGGATAATTTTCCAGTGCCATAATGTAAAATAAAGGAAATATCTGTTAAATCATGTGATGCTTATGCATTTACATGATATATATCTAATGTTATTCTGTTATGTCACTTCAGTGGGTAAGTAGACCAACTTTTTTCCCTCAACCGTTAACAAATTACAAATTATTCCAAATTTTATATTCTCAGGTAAAATTATTCAGACCTTTAATGTTTTATTATTATGAGTTTGTCCTATGTTCCTTTAAAACAAAAGGTTGAAAAAAATTTGCCCATTAATTTTGAAATAGTAAAAGAAAAGTATTGTTAGTGTTTCTCAAAATACATACAAGCCTTGATAGACAAGTTTTCTTTAAGTACATTTATGGAAAAATATGCTGTATTCGATCAGCGCATTTAATTCATTTCAACTATATTCCATTTTCAATGATATGTAAAAAGCCTCATAAATTAGAGAAAAAAATGTAAAATGAACAATGGATATCTTACAAATGTAACTGCAATGAAAATCTTAGTTACATAATTTAAACATTCTTTCTACTTGCAATACAATTTTTCTCTCTAGTTTTTAAATCCCTTATAAAATATTGCAGACATTAAATAGGAGGAGTGATTCATGAGTATACTTTTGCTTTTTGTTCAACCTTATTCAATCTTAATTTTTCCTTTTTTTTCAGATGTCTCCTTCCATTATATCTTACATATCAAAATCTAAAACAACTTTTTAATTTGGGTTCATTGATATTTTATGTTTGTTTAACATTTGTCCAAACATAATTAGTTATTCTGTCTAAGAACCAATAAAATAAACAATGTCATTGCTACACATCTAAGTTTTACTTTTTTTTAATAGATTTATGTAAACATTTTCAGGGTTTTTTTTCCCCAACATTAAAAGATTATTTTTGCCCAAGGAATTTGAAGAGGTTTTCTGATAATGAGATATATTAAAAGTCACATTTATCTTTGTTTCATTATCCTACTTATAGTATAAAGAAGCAATTTACAGAAGTAAAATGAAAACAATACAAAATGCACTGACATACAAATGGAAATATGTTGCAAGCAAGATTATATTTCATTGATTCACACTTGAGCAGATCTTAGGTACCACCATTACATGTAAATTCAGCAAATAATGAAAAACATCAAATGTTGCTAATTTTTGCAAACTGAGACTCTATGAAATAAAAAACTTAGGTCCTAAATCAATGACTAGCTGCTTGATATTATGACATTAGTTTGTACTATGGATCATTTTCAATAAGTACACTAATCAACCTGATTTGCACTAGGAAGGTAAAAATGTCACACAAAAATTTTCATAAAAATGCAACAATTACAAACACTTAGTTCTATATATGAACAAAGGAGTTATGAAATTGTAAAAATATGGAAAATAATTACGCAAAAATACATAAATGGATTTGTCAACTGACAAAAAAATGTCATGGAAAAATTCAGACTACATTCAAATATTCAAATTTTACCAACTACCATCTTCTTATGAACATCCATAGTTCCTACGACCTGCAATAAAAATAAATACAAATGAACATAGAACGATTTAATGTCTCAAAGTATTCACACATCAACAACCATCTTCTTGTGGACATCCATATTCCCTACAACCTGAAAATAAAAGTAAAAAGTGTGTCTTACTTTTATTTGGGAAAACAATCTCCACAACATAATTTTACAACATTCACATATATTTACAAGCTGAAGCCAAATACTACAATTAATAAATGCTATGTGAAGGCAGGGAAGATTTAAGAGAATTAAAAAAATACTTAAAATGTTTTAAGTACCAATAAGTGATGGAATGTAAAATTATGAAGAGAAGATGACACACTTTTTATTTCATATATATTCTTTTGACAGTAAAGCCAGTCTTGCTTGCTGAAAGTAACAATCATATTAGTAGATCCTAGAAACATATTGGTCATTGGTTTAGGACTCCTTTTAAATAAAAAACAAATTGCTGTTTATGAATCAATGGATTTCCCTATCATTCTAATGCAATTAGTTTGTATGGATAATTTTGATTTGATGACAACATATATTTGTAGTGGGTAGAATCAATCACCATTTTGAATTCCAGAATTTTTTCAATAATTTGCAAAAAGTAACTTAGATTTATCTGAAAATGTTCTTTTTGTCCATTCTATTTCATTCTAAAACATACACAAAGCATTAAAAACAGCTGGTGTTTACTTTTAATGCCTGACACATACCTATGTAGTCTTCAGAGCTTTAAAGCATTTTGTATTTTATACATATTAAATTTTCAAATTGAAATAATGACTAAAACGGAACATTATTTTATTTTGCATTAGAATGAGTTAAGATATTGTTTAAGCTTGACCAAATGATAATGCCAGAATTCATAATAAATTTAGAATAAACATAAAGTACATTGACAGTAACAATAGATATGATTACAGCAATTCTTGATAAACATGCAGGCTATTCCAGATATAATGTATGAGGGTTGGTCACCACATAATATTTTTTTCTGTGGGTAATATGGGTGGAAGGAAATGTAATTCTGTAACAAATGAAAATATAAAATATAAACTGTCAAAACAGAGATATGTCACACCTTTTTTGTTATTTTGATAGTAAAATGCAAAAGTTGAAATTAAAATAGCAATATGTTAACATGTAAATTATGCAAAATATTCAAAATCAATGAACTATGACTGAAGGTACAAGGCCAATTAATCTCCATGGAAATGAGATGTGCCAATGCTTATACAACTGCATACTAAAAATCATATAAAAAGCAGTTCCCTTGAAACAGACCTAATTATAAACACAAACTTTAACATATAAACCTGGAATTGTTTTAAAGACATGATGGGGTGGGTCCAGGTAATCTCCATAGAAATGAGATTGGCCAATGCTTCTACAACTGTATAACAAATATAAATGACTTATCATAAGTGGTTCCCCTTAAACTGACCTTATCATAAACTTTAACATGTAAACTATGCAAAATTTCAAAGTCAATAGACCATGACTGAGGGGGTAGGGCCAAATAATTTCCATGGAAATGAGATGTGCCAATGCTTCAACAAATGCATACCAAATATCATTGATTTATCATTAGCAGTTCCCCTTAAACTGACAAAATCACACTAACTTTAACAAATTGAAAATGCAACTGTCAAAAACAGCATACCTAAGTCTCGCTTTTTTACTCCATCGAGGCGAGACAAAAACTGATTAAAAAATATTAATTATTAAACTACATAATACAATCAGCTCACAAACATGTGATAAAAGTTATGAACAAGTGCAACCTTCATCAATAAAAAAAGTCCATTGAAAGCAATTTCACTAAAATTGGAAAGTTTTTAATCCCTTTTTGGATTGTGTGTCCTGAGCAATTTTCTGATTTGGCTACTCACTGAATTCCTAATCATAGCCACAAAAACAACTGTTAAAGGAACAGTATTTCAAAAGTTTTATAGATTCTAAAAGGTAAGCATGTCTTCTTTTCAGTGCTTAACTGCTTTGGTTGTAAATCAAGTTTCTGTCCATGGTTTGAGGTGTGGTAAATGGAAAGTGGCCAAATCTGAAAATCACTCTGGACATAGTACCAAAAAGGGATTAGTAAGTCTCATAAATTGCAGAGATTGTCCATTTTATAAAAATGCATGATACTAAAAAGTAACTGGATATTAATTATCTACAAATAATTTCGTTTTCTAAAAGCAGTCAAAACCATCCATTATACTTACAGAACAAAATTCTTCGAATGATATTTTGCCATCACCATCAGTATCTGCATGTATAATGGTTTTATCTACAATCTGTTGTAGCTGAGTGTCTTTGAGATTATTTCCTACCATCATTTTAAGCACCTGGAACAGTTCTCCATTAGATATATATCCATCTTTATCCATGTCATATATCTTAAATGCAACTGAAATTATAAAGTCCAGATGGTAAGATGGAAATAAAGTTTCAAGAAATATGCAAATTATTTCTCTATGCCCTTCATCAACTAAATGCAACTGTGGATTTATTTATTTTTGGGGGTACCAATTTTCATGGATTCCGATTGAGGGAAAATTGTATTTTTTCAGTTTATTAAATCATGTCATTGTGATAAAACTAAGACTGCAACCCACTAAAGAAAAGTTAACCTTCGATGGTTCTGGCTATTCTGTTTCGGCCCTTTATGCTCTTAAAATGTTTTATATTACTAACTTAATGAAGCTTTCCAGAAAAATGTGTTATGTGCACAAAAACTTATTTTTTCTTAATACTGTTTTGGTATAGAGACTGTATACAATTGTGCCATAAGAGCATAAGGCTGTACCTTGAATAAAATCCCCATAATAAAACAATGAGAAAATAGTAAAAAAGTTAAAAGGGAAGTGGTGTAAACTAGCTGTAAAATTGTTATCAATTCCTTTTTATCATGTGAAGAAACTGGACTTTAAGAAGCATAAAAAAATGCCTCACTTGCCTCCATAAAACGAAACATAATGTAGTTACTTCATAAAGTTCCATAATAGCAAACTTGAGCTATCATATGATATGCTTAAAAATGTTCAATTACATAATGTGTTACCATTTTCAGTAAGATGATTCTTCATAACAAAAGCCAAACAAATATAACTTGGACAACACCTCAAAATAGGGTCAGTCAGCTGGTAATCTAGATTAAAGTATTGTACTTACATCTTAATTTAGATAATTTGTCTCCTTTAACACTAAATTGTGATACTCCTTCTATGAATTCTGTAAAAGAAAGATCTCATTATTAAAAGATAATACTTAACTCTTCTTAGATAGAGTTGTGAAATAGCATCTTAACTTTGGTCATTACCTAAAATGTATTGCAAGTCAAACAGATACATTATTTCAAAAATAAGTTGTGGTTCTGTATGACTCCTTCATCTCTACAATTTTTTTGCAGTTCTCAAATGTGATGTACCATCATATTTACACATATTTTAACACATCAATCTGTTCCTAAATTCTTCATTATTTACAGTTTTCTTTCATCGATCAATTTGGAATGAACTACTACCTTTTCTTTGTGTAAATTTTTTGTTTGTTTTAACACTGTGTATCATATTCAAACTGTAAAATACTAAAGCTAGTGAAAGGTTTTGTACAATTGAACAAGATTAATGTCATAATTTTCTTATAAAAATGTCGCAATAATAAGATTATAGTTTTCCCATTCTTCTTTCAATTTTTGTATAAATATTTGAGTATTATCAGTGACACAGAATCTGTTTTATAAACTAAACAGAATATCTTGATATTCAGTTAAAAGTGAAATATTTTTCTTTAAATAAATTACCTTTAAAATCTACTTCCCCATTACCATCTGTGTCAAATATATCTATAACTCGTTGTACTAAAGGATTCTGTTGTAATTCTGGTAATGACATAAACTCATCTACACTCAGTGATCCGGAGTTGTCCAAATCTAATTTACGAAACCGCTTGCCAAGTCTTTTAATTTCATCTGCATCAACTGATAAATATAGATCGTAATATTATATACAACACTGCACTTCAACATCAACCCTAAACGCAATATTTCAAGGATCCAACAAGTAGTATCAAACCATTTACAAATATTTTCATGTGTAAAAAGGAGCCACTTTTTAGTTATAGTAAATATGAAGAAAGCTAGTTTATCTGGAATTTCCTTTCTCACTCCAACTGATATTTGATTTAATTAATTCATCTAGACAGTAAGACCTCATTAATTTTTGAGCATGGTGAAGGTCTAATAGAGTAGGTTACAAATTGGTCCTAAAATTCCATGAACTTCAGTAATTTCTAGTAGCATTTGATGAAAGAATGTGTACAAGTATTGGACTAATTCAAAATCAACTACATGTAGCACTGAGGCAATGCAACTGTGTGAACAATAATGATGTCATAACTATGCATACATATGTATGATGAAAATCATTACTTAAACTTATACACATGTACATGTATTTGCCTACATTTGGATAGCTTGCAAAACTTATACACATGTACAATGTACATGTATTTGCCTACATTTTGATAGCTTTGCAAAAGACAACAATGGCAATGGACGATCATAATATTTTGTTGTGATGCGAATCCTACTCATAAACATCTTTTTATATACGATATAACAAATTTATTTTGCTGAAAGGATTTTGCCAATGTTTTTTTAAGATGGAAATAGACCCAAAAATTTATTTAAACACATAATATGGCTAAACACTAGTAAAATATCATACTTTTAAAGCTTTAAGCATGAACTTAAACAAACAGTTAACAGAAAAATGTCTAATCTAAATTTGCATATTAAGATGGTAAATAGTTGTTTTTACTGATATTGTCTTTTATGTAGATCTTGTATTGTTGATCATTTTTACCATTTCAACTTTTTAGTTATAGATTTAAGATGATAGGCAAAACTCAGAAAATATGTGAAAATAAGTTTGCATCAAATCATTTTCATGTAAGGAGTCATCTGAAAATTTTGTGAAATAGAAGGTTGATCTCGACATTTTAGGCATCTTTGTTAAACCACATTTTCTCTATCCATTCAGTTATCAAGATATGAGACAAAGCATGCATTTTACGTATATACCCTTTGATATTTTTAAAGTCATATGAAACGAGTTTCTTGGAATTATAGTGTTAAGGAATTTATTGAACTAATACATGTCTATATACTTTTATAATTAAATATGAACCATATTTTACATTTACTACAAATTTTAAAAAGTAAACCACAGTTTAAGTCAACATCCAATCTGTTCATTGCAAATAATAGCTCTAATAAATTTTTCAGTTTGTGTTGTAGATCTAGATCTATATATACGTGTAGCTACATGGAGAAAAACGTTTGAAATTTTTTATGAGATGGACATAGGCATCTCCTTATTTTATTTTAATATACAATAGAATACTTTTTCAAAGCTTTCTAAAACTTATTATTCTAACGTATCATTCAAATCATGTATACATCTACATGTACTTACAGTTCGAACATAATTCCAAAGGAAGCGATGCTTCATTTCCCTGAAACAGATGAAATAAAGTTAGAAAACGGAAACAAAAAATTTGTACTTGATCTTAGTTTTGTGGTAATGAATATTGTGTATAGGTTTCATAATGTTTGGTTGGGGCAAACTTAAGTTACAGAATGGAAACTAAAAATTTTGCAATCTTTCGATTTATAAAGGGGCATAACTCAATAATGATTAAAGTGACACTACCCAAATTCAACTTGATCTGTGTTTTATCAGTGGAAGTCAAAATTAAACATTGCATTGTATAAAGCATCGATTGTAGTTGATTCAACTATAATCATGGACAAAGGAAGATAACTCCAATTTTAATAAAATTACTTGATATTTAGAAGAAAATAAAATTGACGCCACCAAAATTCATACTTGATCTGTGTTTTGTGGTAATAAGCATTGTGTATAAGTTTCATAACATTTGGTTGAGGCAAACTAAAGTTAGAGAACGGAAAAGATAAATTCAGCAATTTTCTATTTGTAAAGGGGCATAACTCTAGAACAGTAAAAAAGATGCCACCAAAATTCAAACTTGATCTGTGTTTTGTGGTAATAAGTATTGTGTATAAGTTTCATAACATTTGGTTGAGGCAAACTAAAGTTAGAGAACGGAAACCAATTTTGGGAGGTACGTACGTTCGTATGTACGTATGGTTAAACTCAATACCCCCTCCGCTATGGCGGGGTCATAAAAACAATTAGTTGTATAGATAATGACTGGGGACTGGAGGCTGCTTTAATAACAAGAAACTACACATTATTTGCTTGTTATGTATTTGAAATAATGTAAGATTGGTATATTAAATAGACCATTCCTTTTGTATGATTCAGTCTATTTACAATGTAGATGAATAATATTGGCGCATTAATTGTACTCCATTCAAATGTATTAAAAGGGTTTTTAAGCACATACATACGTATATATATACTCATTAAAACAATATAGTAGAAGATTAAAAACACTTATGACAATATAAGAGGAGCATTAGATCCTCATGCGCTCAAAATCCCCCATGGAGATTTTGAAAAGTTGGCAGGTATGCCATTAGTCAGGCCATAATCTTGCTGGCAAAATGACGATTTAAGTTGCCAAAGAATTTTGAAAATTGCTAAAACTCGCCAGCCAACTGACTACAAGGCAAGGTCAATTCGCTATCAAAATTATTATAAGGGAGACAACTTGTGATTTACAAGTCGCACAGGTACTGTAAACCAAAATGGCGACTAACATGGAAATTCAATGTTATTTTCACAACGATCAAGGACTCAGGGTTGGCAAACTATTACCCGGGTCCAGGTTTTCCCGGGCTGTGCATGCGCAATACTCCTAGAAACGGGTAATACTGGACAATACTGGGTAATATGATTTTTGAAGCTTATTTTTACACAGAATAGTAAAGACTTGTTGTAGTTTAATAGTATTATAGCTAAATAAATACATTTTATACAGATAACCATTGAGAGTCAGTCCTGAAGATTGAAAATTCAATTTCTTCCTTTTCTTCACTAATTCTAGAATACAAGTTTTGGACATTTCAGGATACCTTGTTAATTTCCAAGCTTTGTTTCAATATTAAATCTAAGTTGAAAAAAGCATTTGATTGCAGTGTGTAAGTGAATTGTAAATTTTAATTGTTTTACAATCATATTGCTAAATAAACACCCTAAGGGGAAAGGTCATGAACACTAATAGAAATCAAAAGGCTGATTATTGCTATATAAACAAATCTGTATTATAATCTGAATAATTACTTATTAATTGGTGATGTACATAAACATATGCTAAAACTTAGTAAACTTTTTTTGTAATGAACAAAAAATGTTTAAAAGTAATTTTCCTTCCATAGAATTGTTAATTCTTAATATTAGCAAAAGTCCATTACTGGACTTCTGATATTAGTTATATTTATTAAAAAAACAAATTGAAGTCTTTGACTTTTTATTGCATTTGTGATTAATCACTGAATCCTCTTTAAAATTCAGGGCAGTATTTCATATTACCCAGTATTGCCCAGTATTACCTGGTAAAACCCAGTAAAACCTGGGTTTTCCCAGTATTTCCCACTGGGATCGTCAATACTCATAAAACCCGGGGTTTTGGCCAACCCTGCAAGGACTAAAACTGTCGACGATTAGGTGAAATAAATACGACAGCAACTTTGAACATTCTCAGATTTAACATTCAAAACTTTTAAAACGGGAAACAGAGCGACTGTTTGAATTATCATTTTATGATAAATTTCGTCACTCAGATAATTTGTTTTCAGTATTTTTATTTAATACGAGTCAATCAGTTGTACTATTCAGTAGCATAGGGGGTGGAAATTAACAGGTTTTCTCTCTATTTTTTCTATTCATTGATAAAAATTGAAATGCAAAAACTAAAAGTAAAAAAAAAAAGCCGATGAATAATTTGATTGCAAACATACGACGCATGGTCAGCTTGTTATCAGCAATGTGTTTTTTCCATGACCAACTTGTTAATAAGAGAAATATCTTTTATAACAGAAATAATAATAAACTGCTTTGCTGAGCGCAGCTGGATACGCCCGCAGAGGTCCAACCCTGAACAGTTGGGTCAAAAGTGGACACAATATTCAAGCTTGATACAGGTCTGAATTTGGATTGTAATTAAATATTTGACATATTATAGGTTTCTGAATAAATGTAGTCAAAGAACTTGAAATTGGTTATATGAATTGAATTTATATCCAATTAAAGATTTCTTGCTGTTGTGCAATACACTGTGCTGTTGCGCAATACTTAGTAAATCTCTTGTCAGACTAAAAACAAATAAAGTTCAATTAATTCTCAATGTCATATTAGAAATTTATGAAAATGTAAAGGGAGCCTACATCAATAGATATAAACAATTCACCAAAGTTTCATGAGAATTGCTGACAGTATTTTTGAGTTATTGTCTGAAAACTGGAAAATCCACCCTTTTTTAATGAATAAAACCCCATAACTCAGAAATGTAAAATGTAAAATTTATAAAATTCTAAATGGAGCTTACATCAATAGATATAAACAATTCACCAAAGTTTCATAAGAACTGCTGAAAGCATTTTGATTTTTTGTCCGAAAACTGGAAAATCCCCCTTTTTTTATGAAAAAACCCTCTAACTCGGAAACGTAAAATCTATAATATATAAAAATCGAAAGGGAATTCATGTCAATAGATATAAACAATTCACCACAATTTCTTGCAAGTTGGTGAAAGCATTCTTGAGTAATTGTCCGAAAACTGGAAAATCCCCCTTTTTTTTATTGAATAAAACCCCATAACTCGCAAACGTAAAATCTAAAATTTATAAAAAACGAAAGGGAGCTCACGTCAATAGATATAAACAATTCCCCAAAGTTTTATGCAAATTGGTTAAAGCATTTTTGAGTTAATGTCCGACATGTTGACGACGGACGGACAGACGGACGGACAACGGTATACCATAATACGTCCCGTAAACGGGCGTATAAAAATTAGTTCTTTATCAGTTAATTTATATGTGCTTGACAGATATCTTCTTTTATAGGACTATAACCATTACAACTGATATGATGTCCTGGACATTCAATAATGTTTTACTAAATTATGACAAAAAGTGGTGATATAAAAGCCAAGTCATCAGAAAAACTGTGAGTCATATTTTTCTTGAATTAAAAAATAAATTGAGGCAGATGCACACAAGAATAATGCATGATATACAAGCAACACATTTTATTGAAATTTAATTCAAGTTGACAGTACACATGATATGACTAAATACATGTAAATAACATCTATATTGTCTAAATATTTATATTAAGAATCTTGTATGTACATACAAACTCATTTAAAAACACTGCAAGTATCTTTTAATTGCATGTATAAAACAATTTCCTTAATGATAAGCACGAAAACACTATGCAGCCGAAACAGTAATGGAATTTCGCTTCTCTAAGAAGTTGACCACTTCTCTCTCTCCAAAATCCTAGATTAGGCCCTGCTTAGATTCCTCAATTGTCATGATTGTGCTGTTTCACATTTTTCATGTTGGGGCCTTTTATAGCGGACTATATAAAAAAAAAATTTAATTTCTGAAATTTTTTTCACCTCCTTTTCCAAAAAAGCCATCTAAATACATCATAAAAGTCTTAAAAAAAGACATACATCATGGCTAAAATTAATATATTAAATATTCCTTGATGATCATTTTTAAATAGTAACTTCTAAAAATAAATTGACAGCTAATCACCTCAAGACAATACAACATTTCTTTATGCATAATTCAAAAGCAGTGTAAGGGAGGTAATCCAAACATAACATTGTACTTTTTTTTTAATTGTCCTTTAACCAGGAAACCCTTGTTTTTCCCCCTTTTATGCCCCTTATTCCTAAACGGTTTGAGCCATCACCCCCAAAGCCAATCCTAACCATCCCTTTGTGGTATGGAAACTTGTGGTATAATTTCAGAGAGATCCATACACCGTTCCACAAGTTATTGTCTGGAAACTGGAATAAACTGCTTCGTTGAGCGCAGCTGGATACGCCCGCAGAGGTCCAACCCTGAACAGTTTGGGCAAAAATGGACACAACATTTAAGCTTGATACAGGTCTGAATTTGGATTGTAATTAAATATTTGACATATTAAAGGTTTCTGAATAAATAAATTTATATTCAATTATGATTTTTGCTGTTGTGCAATACACTGTGCTGTTGCGCAATACTTAGTAAATCTGTGGTCAGGCTATAAACAAATAAAGTTCAATTTCTTCTCAATGTCATATTTGAAATTTATGAAAATCAATAGGGAGATTACATCAATAACTATAAATAATTCACCAAAGTTTCATGCAAACTGCTTAAAACATTTTTGAGTTATTGTCCAATAAACTGCTTCGCTGAGCGCAGCTGGATACACCCGCAGAGGTCCAACCCTGAACAGTTGGGGCAAAAATGGACACAATATTTAAGCTTGATACAGGTCTGAATTTGGATTGTATTAAATATTTGACAT